TGCGTTGTGGGTCAAGCCGATCACTTGACAAAGAAATATAAACCAGGCTTTAGTTGAAATGTATTGGAACTTTTCTAAATTTCCTCTAAAAAAAGATTGCCTAATTACGAGAGATGACATAGTAAATGGTGAAGCAAGGCACTCACTCGCGCTTGTCACTTTAGGTTAGACAACACATGCTAAAATGAGTGTCATATAGCAGCTGTGAGGAGATTGTAAATAAAAAAGGATGTAAGTGTGTCACCAGAAAGGTGTTTTTTCTCATTCAACATCACAATTTGTAATGTTGCAGTATGTATTTGAATAATGATGGTTGGTTTCATAACTCAAATTTGATTATCATAATTTGTTTTGTTTACAGAGTTTGCTGTATCATTATTTTTGACACCTTACAGATCTACCTTTACTATTGCACACACCTTGTAACATTTTATCTATCAAGTTTAAGAGTCTTTTTAACACTAATGTTTATTTTATTATAAAGAGATCAGATATTTTGCTTAAATATATTAGTTTTTGACTATTAAAACTATTTGCCTTAGTAATGTTGGTTAATTAAAAAAGGTGGTAAAAAAGAAAATCCTAATATTCCTAAATGTATTGTTAAAAGGTGTTACATAAATATTGATATCTAATGATATGAAACATGACAGTAATATATATTTTTTTGCAATATCGCCCAGCCCTAAACGAAAGTTCCGTATATCATATTAGCTCTGCAGGGACATCAAACATGAACCATCTATGATCTTGTTTAACTGTGATAATGTTAAATCTTAATTACAGTAGCATACATAACACAGAATATTAATACATGAGCAAGATGCTTGGTTGCAAAACACCTGATTACACACAAACTGGGAATACAAGTTTACAATAAAAGCATAAGTCTTAAAGTTTCAGTAGGTGATTGTCTTCAGAAACATTTTTTGTTGTGCTGGTTGAAAGTGTCTTCACATTCCTATAGCAATAATTACAGTAAATGATCTAAATATATTTATATGTATTTTTATTTTCTGCAAAAAAAAGTCAAACAAAAAATCCAATTAAATATTGTCTGACCTAATTATGACAGGTATCTCTAACTGGGTGTCAACAAATTTAAATTTGAATCTCTGAGCAGCCTCTTTAAGCAGACAGATACGTCACTTGCGCGCACACGTGAAGCACATATCTACAATTGACAGAGAGATGTCATCCGCAAACTCTGCATCGACCTAACCTTCTTACTGAAAGACCAACGTGGCCTTGTATGCATGAAAAGATTATTTCTGAAAGGGCTTCTGCTAAAAATGCAGAACCAAAACTTTTCTAAACCCAGTATCAATATTGGAATTACTTTTGCACACTGCAGGAAAATTACGTGCAGTTCAAAACAATGATCTAAATTGATGTACGAGGATCGGCGAGCTCAATTGAAAATTAAAAATCACTCGTCTTAGTAATGCAAACATAAGTGAAATGTAAAAAGATGACAGTATATTTCTGTTTCACCCCTTTTTTTCAATCTAACTTTTATTTAGTTTAATAACAATTATGAATAATTTATATTCACACATTTGTTCCATTTTGAACAGTGACAGCCTGTGACACATTTTTAGAGAAATATAATTTATTTATTTATTTATGGGTGGATTTATAATATGTGCATTATTTGTTGAATAAAGCAAAATAATTATGTGTCTAATCAGCCACATTCCCTACAGCCTACTTAAATTATGTTTCAGTTGCTCAGGATAACAGAATTTGTCATTATGAGAAATATGCTGTAACTTTTTGATTATTCACAGCAGTCTCCTATGAGATCACTCGAAACAATATCATTAATTTTTTGTGCTCAAAAAATAGATTTTAAAATAAAGAAATATGCCTATGGATTAGCTTACAAGATGGAGAGAAGAAAAAAATATTTTGCCATAACAGATTTAAAAAAAAGGTGAGATTATCCCTTTTCCCAAGAACAATACAAAAAGTAGGCCTAGATATAATCCAAAGTATTTAATTAAATGGATAAATAATAATAAAAAAAATGCAAAAGGCCTATTCGCAGACTAAGCATCATAACATTTTGGCTGAATTAAAATTAAGGCAACGGTTAAAAAAAAAGTTTTTAATAAAATGTACATTTTAAAAGGAAATAATAATAAAAATATATCTCACGCATGTCACATTATGCATGAAGAAATACCTTGGGTCACAGCCGACCAGCTGGAGCTTTGGGGCAAAGTGAAAGCAAACGCAGAGTTTGCACAAGTCTGCTAAAGAGGTTCTGCACATGTGTTTTGTAACTGTGCACAAAAAAGCCAGAAGCATTTGTTATGTACAAAGGGTGTTTTTGTGCATAAAGGTGCACATCTAGATGCATGCATGCCATGTGTGTGTGTTTGTGTGTTGAGCATTGTGTAACAAATGGAGGAAAATCAGACCGATACATTTCATTATTACATAAACTTTTTAAAGGGTCACGAAACATCAAAACACATTTTTGGAGCTGTTGACAGTCGTATATGTGTCCCACACTGCTAAAAACACTATTAGGACACCTATATTTCACTAAAAAGTGTAAATTGGTTGTTTTTGCGTTATTTCAAGCAAATTCTTACTTCTGGTTTGAAACGAATTTTTGAAGCTGCGTCACGATCATGACATAATAGCGTTGTATTCCAGCGTGCAGACTGGACGTCTGTGCCAGAGTGTGTCTTATTACTTCTTACAGTGTGTTGCATTAATGCATGAGTAAGGCTTGGTTCAAACCAATCAGCGTGCTCTATTGTGCAACTTCATTAATATTCATTACTGTCATAGTGTTTAGACGACAGAGACGCCACGTTGTGTTGGCAAAACAAGCGTGAAGTGTTGCTTTTATAGTTTGCTGCTGTTAAGTTTTGTTTTCATTTTCTCTCTGTGAGAGTGCAGCTGGAGTCACGTGTGGATTAACAGTGTACACGACGCTCCACAACAATAACCTACGTGTCTAAGGAGGATTATTGTTTACCTGAAAGCTGTTCTAATCTGCAAAGGCTGAGATCCGGATTCGCTTTAGTCTCCTCTTAATAAAGACGCGGCTCTAGTTGCTGGTGATTGTCCTGTCTTTACAGATTTGGTAAGTCAGCGACCAGTGCTCTTTGTTTATTCAGTTTGTTCGTATCGAACTAAGTTAACTATTGCACCGAGTGTAAACATGTTAGCACTACAACCAAACTTTAACCTCGTGTAGGATTTTCACCGCATTTAGTGACCGGAATAACACACGTGGCTTTCTGACGCTACCTGCCGAGTACATCTAAGTTTCCGGGAAATGCTGAGTTTTTTTTTCTCTCATTCGCCGTGCGGTATCAAACATTGCATGAAAAATACACGCTTAGAGCAGTTCCTCCAATCAAATATTTAATTTGTCGCGAGGGACATGAATGAATTCCCGGAATGAAAGAGCCAAACTGCAGTTAAAGTCCACAATTTAATAATTTGGCAAATAATTCGACTACAGATGTCCATGTAAACACAGACCCTTTCTCCCCTGTGTGTGTGTGTGTGTGTGCGTGTGTGTGTTTTGACTCTGAAAGTCAGCGCACCCAAATAGCCACTCCCACACCATGCCTCTTTTCTTCCTCCGACACTCCCCCCTAATCAAAGCTGGACACGCCCACTTTTCTGACTTTTTCCAAAGTAGAGGTGTGAAAACACCCTGCTGAAACGAGGGGGTTTCATGGCCCTTTAAGCAGCCCCCAGAATCCCACCCCACTGGGAGGTCACATGTCACATACCTAGGCACCGAGTTACCATGGTAACAACCTTGATAAGCTAGCTTCAAAGACTTTTCACAATCACACAAGAACAGAACTGGACCTTTCTTTTAATAGCTATTTCTATATTTTTATATTTTAATGTAGGCAATGTTGTTGTGTGTATGTCTGTGCTAAATAGTGTTTAATGATGAGTTACTGGAAGTATGTCAATCTTCTTTGTATTAAAACCCTTACAAGTGTTGCTTAATAACTTAGACTCAAATACAATCACTAAAGTGTTTGATATGTATGAACAGCTACTGTGGTTTAGAGAACAACTGTATGCATTGTATTTTGGTACCTAAAACTAAAGATTATAAAATCTTTAACACTTCTCTATGAAACTCACCAAGCACATGTACATCAGCCTTACACAAAGAGCCATAAAACTGGCTAGAGGGCAACATCCTATTGGGTAACTCAATCCCTGAGTTCATGACATCAGCAAACCTATTTAAGGAGCTGGACAAGTTCACACTATCCAAGCTCTCTTCTGTACCGCCTCTCTCTGACTCTTCTCACTCTTGATTCTTACTCCTCTTCTTTCAAAAATGTGACCCAGACCTTATAGGCCTTACTTAGGCTAAGGCTGGGCTTCGGCCTATGTAACTCTTCAGAGACTTTCAAGTCTCTATTCTGGACAATTTCAGCTCATAACCTCGCTGGAACACTGATCAGAATGGAGAAGGACCAGCAACCTGCATAAGCCACAGACAAAGAACTATGCGAGTTTGACTTAGTTAGCATATATGCTAGTTTGTCAAGTCCTTTGTTAAAACAAGATGATTCAGTTTTCTTTGATGATTGGTTTTAGGTTATCTAGATCTCCAAAATTGAAACATCTTCAAATAGGCACTATCCTCATAAGTAAACGACATATTTAAAATTCAAACAACTACTTTATCACTTTTATTTCAACCATCAAATAACTAAAATTGAGATTAGTCATCAGCTTGGCACTCACTGCAGGTGAGCTGAAGAGGATGCACCAATGCTTATACTAGTAGAATATTAAACACGATTTGATTTAAAATTAAAGTAATAGTGTAAAATTAATTTCATGACAAAATTTTTTACTTTTTTACAACCCTACATTTCAACAATTATTTAAGGTTTTGAGATAAAGACTTAATTTTCATTGTTAAATGTCAAAACTGGTATACATTTTAAATATGAATAGTGTCGTATAGTGCTGTTTTGTATGTGGTTCCATACTTTCAGTCTGCGACTCAAGTTCTCCATAGTTCCACCATCAGAAGCTTCTCCAATAAGTGTGAAACTGTTTGTGCTTTCAGCTGACATCATCCTGCAAAACACAAATGGCTTATTATTGCAGCATACCAGCACCAACCTATAGCTCAATGTGCATGAAACGGTAATTTGCATTACACACACACACAAACACACACACACACACACACACACACACACACACACACGCACACGCACACGCACACGCACACGCACACACACACACACACACACACACTAAATGCATGCAGCACACAAAGAGCGATTTTAACACATTAAAATGATCTGCAGCAATACTTTTAAAATATAGGCAGACCACTGACGTTTTGAAAAGGCAAAAAACTAATAATGCAATTATATATATAAACCACAGTATAATATATATATATATACACAACAGTTCTGTCTGGTTCTCGAATCTGATTGGCTGATTTAAGAAATATCAGCACCCATACTGCCTCTTTACCCTATGTGTATTACTCCGCCCACATACAGCCAGCAACAAGCAGAGAGACACTACAGTTTGACAAATATTACTGCTGTAAGACAAAAAGAAAAATGTACTTTTGTGGCTTTTTTTGTTGAGAATGTAGTTGTTTAGATTGCAACTGTAAAGTTTACTTGTAAGAATAGTGCCTATTTTAAAAGAATTACAATTTCTGAGAGAGCTCATAGACAGCCATTAGCCTGCCATATTGTTGACGTTTTCTATCCACAAGATGACAATAGAACCGCATAATAAACCCTGATGCTTAGAAGCTTATATCAGTCTGATTTCTAACTACAGCAGATCAAATTATTATTAAACTGGTAAGCATACCTGCCAACATTCCCGTTTTTCCTGGGAGTATCCAGTATTTCAGACCAATCTCCCACAACCATCCCATTTTTTTATATCTCCCGGAAAACTCCCGTAATTTTACCCACCGCCCTCTTTGGTACAGTCTGCAAATACCCCCGGGTTGCCAACTTTGGTACAGTACCCGATCGCAGCAACTGCCCAAAACCCGCTACATCCTATCCCGATTCTCAACAGTATTATTCACTATTCAGAGACCTCACCCCCGAACACCCCCTCCCCCCAGGTCTCTCTTATTTTCAGAGACATGTTGGCAGATAAGATGATTTCTCTCTTTTGTATATTGTAATGCTATATTTATACCGATTTCCTTGCATATCAGGTATGAGTGTTGTGTTGGCAGAATGAAAGAAGCAAGTCCGCACGAGTTTAGCATTTTTCCTTATCACAAACACAACAGCATTCTGGTAGTGAGTGCTTAGCTTTTTTGGGGATCAATTACTGTGATATCCCGATTAGAACAAAAAAATACAGTAGACTAACACTTTAAGAAGATATCTCTGTAGATCGATGACATTTAATGTCACGTTCAACCGCATAATCTTAAAGTGTGAGCAAAATCAAGTGTTTTGTCATCACTTTAGACATTACGCTATAGAGAGTCATTCAAACACTACCTCTAAAGTTACGTTGTGAATTAGCAACAACTTCTGCTGTTTTGACGTCAGCTGCAGATGTGAATGAATGGCAGAAAAAAGTAGTACCTAATAAAAAGGGGTTATTAGACTTTCTGTTTGATTTTCTTATTAATATACAATAGCTTGTAGCAGTGAGATATGGCTGCTAATCATGTGATATTGCACATATATATATATATATATATATATATATATATATATATAAGCAATATCACACTCGTAGCAGTGAGATATAGCTGATACTCATGTGAACATATATACATACATATATACATACATGCATACAAAAAGCTCCCCATCTGTGCACGCCCTTGAATGCGTTTACTAACTCCCTGTCTATAAAAGCACAAAAGCCATATATAGGAAATAACGAGAGTTGACAAATTAAAAACTTAATTTTTTTAAATTTATAATTATAATAAAATTATAATCCAAACTGGAAGTCCATCTTGTGGTTGAGGGAGCCTTATAAATAATGAACTTAACAAAAACTGCCTACTGAAGCACACAGTTAATGTTGATTAATAAAATAAAGATAAATAATAAAAGCAATGTATCAGAGATCCTTATAAATGTTTAACTCAACAATGAAAGATCAAACGTAGTAAGATTTTACATTGTCAATCAAATGACAAACTTAAAATATAAAAACTTAAACAATTGAAAAATGCAACAAATATTTGTTTGGGCCCCAACTACAAAACTATATTTAAAAAAAAAAGTTGCTTAAGTTGCATACTAGTTTGGCATGTATAAATATAATTACAATGCTCGAAATAACCTTTTTCCTAGGTAGTACCGTGCTCTTAACTTTAAAAATTTAGGCGCATCAGCCAAAATTTAGTCGCACTTATAAGCACCGTAACTACAAGTTTCATACAAACATATTTATTGCATTTGAAATCAATACTAATCAATCTAACAAGCAAAAAAAAAGAAAAAAAAAATATATACACACACACACATACATACATATATATATATATATATATATATATATATATACATATATACATATATACATACATACATACATACATACATATATATATATATATATATATATACATATATATATATATACATATATATATATATAATATATATATATATACATACATACATACATATATACATCATACATACATACATACACACACACACACACACACACACACACACACACACACACACACACACACACACACACACACACATATATATATATATATATATATATATATATATATATATATATATATATATATATATATATATGCATATATATATATGCAAGTGTGAGGAAAATATTTCTAAACAAAATCCCGTTATCACAAGAAAACACATTTTTATAACATAACTCAGTGACCAAATTGTACACGGACCGCTCACCAGCCCTACACTAACTGCTCGACATGGATGAATCTGTTAACGATGTAACTGTGCTGTTCTCATGGGTGCTGTCTGATATTGCACTGATGTTTTTGACATATACTTTACCTTATTATTTGCATAAGTCATGTTAATAGCAATACTTTTCATGAGTAGCGATATTAGTTTAGTCAGTGTAAGCCCGTTTGTGATGGTGTACGTGGTGTTAAATTTGACATATATCTGCCACTTGCACGGTGGACAGCATCTGGCGATTAAATAAAGGATTAAACAGAAGCTTGCGTGGTAGATGTGGCAAACAGTTGAAACCTGAAAATTCCATCCCACAGACTTTTCATAGCAGACTTGAAGCCAATGGAAGTCTTTTATACACTCTTGGAAAAGTGTAGATGGTGGAGTAACACTCAGCACATGGTCACTACTAAGATGTGTCATTATTTATAACTTTAGATGCCATGGTTTCTAAAATAAAATCTGTCAGTGTTATCTTTATTCTCATCTTCAGCGCTTTAGTTTTTCATGGTAGTAGCTCTCTCTGTCATCACAAGCCAGAAGGCATTGACTGAGTGATTGACAGCTGATATTTTAGCGCTAGAGCAGTGGGCCAATAAGAAGAGCACGAAGGCGGGGCAAGCATTACGGATTTGGCTTTGTTTACTACAGCAAGTTGACATGACAACTGTTTTAAACCATTCCTGAGCGCTGCGTTTCAAGTGCAAAGATGCATTCTGCGTGAATGTCTCCCAAATCCGGGCATGTTGGTGAACATTTTGCAGTAAAAACTGGTCGCACATAATTTTTTTGCACTCGCACAAATGCTCCCAAATATATTTTGAGGTCGCATAGGTAAAATTTTGGGCGCATATGTGACCAAAATGGTCGCAATTTCGAGCACTGCATTATAACCATATTGTATAAATATTATTGTCACTATAAGCCTACATCATGCTGACAATCAAAAACACAATGTCATGAAATCTCATGTGATTGTCTTCTGACCGAGTGCATCTTAAAATACATGAATGACACTCCTCATAGCAAGCATATATTCTTTATAATTTGTAAAACAAAGAGACTTGCAGGTTAAGAAAACAGCATAAAAGGAACTTGCCGCGGGCAGTGGTGCAGATTAAAAGTAAAAAAAAAAAAAAGTATATTTATATGGACAGATAGGTAACTAGATAGACAGGAATATATTAACCTGTGCCCCGCTGCACGCTGCAGAGTGCAGACGCAAAAGGCAAATGCCTGCTCATCGCTTCTGCTCTGAAATAGGCGTGACTCTCGACTATTTTGACAAATACACACCTACGTTGCACGCTTACACAGAGCCCAAAATGGAAGTTTGTGATTGGGTCAGCCCGTTGTCAGTAAAGAAATTAACCAATGGGGTGCAGATTATGTCACATGGGCCGCTCTGTCTGGAATAGAAACATCTTACTTTCAGAGCTTCACTGCTCACAGGATCTTCAATCACACAAAAAATGACAGTCTGCTTAGTGTTTTATCGTCCGATCAGATCATAAGAAGATTATCAGCCCGGCCCAAAAAGCACGTAGGCCCAGAGGGAAACTGCCCGGTCTGCCAGATGGCCAAAACAAGAAACAAAAACGCCAATGGTTTGTTCTGATGACAGTCGAGGAAAAAAAAATTAGCTTAAAGTGGCTAATAATTTTGACCTTAAAATGGTATATAAAAAAATAAAAATTGCTTTTATTCTAGCTAAAATAAAAACGAATAAGACTTTCTCCAAAAAAAAAAAAATTATCAGACATACTGTGAAAATGTCCTTGCTCTGTTAAACAATTTGGGAAATATAAAAAAAATAATAAAAATAAAAAATAAAAAAAAAATCAAAGGGGGGCTAATAATTCTGACTTCAACTGTAATATATAAAAACCCGTGATCAATGATCATTTAGATTAATGATCAATTAATCGACTAATCGCTCATCCTTATAAACGATCAGTTTATAAAATACATACAAATAGGCCGCTGAAGAACGAGCCGAATATGCAATGCATTATGATTCTTGCATAATCATTACAAAGAAAGGCCTAAACTTTCGGTAGTTTTTTTAAAAACTTATTTAATAATCTACTTCGTTTGCATTATGTTATATCTTAGAAGATAATTCAAACCAATGCAAATCATCGCTCTCTTACA